GGAGACCCCAAGGAGGATTTCTCTGGATAGCATATGGTTACAGATGGCCAAGCTGCTGTTGCTCACATGATTCTCAGGGTGGAGAGCTCAGAACATCCTCTCTATTGTTGGAAAGCTTTAGCTGTAAAAGCTGCATGTATTAAGCCAAAATCTGCCTCCCTGAATTCCTCCCCATCTTCACGGTGGTCTCCTAAAGCTATACATAATAAGCCTAATAATTCCTTCTTGCATGGGAATTCTCCAAATATCTGAAGATGCTCTGTGCGTGTCTCACTTCTTTGTCTAAATCTCTGTGGTTACTTCAGTCCTTCTTCATTCCAAAAGCATCTCATTAGTGCTCCCACTGCTCTATGAGCTCTCTGCTATAATGCTTCATGCATGGTTTTGTAATTTATCTGAACATGTGACCATCTCCCACAGCAGACTGTGAGTTTCATGGGGGGTTGGGAGCAAGCCCTATGCATTTTTGTATCATATCTTTTCACATTGCTTGGCATATAGTAGACATTAAGAATTGACAGATGGAAGGAAGGAAGGAAGGAAGGGAGGGAGGGAGGAAGGGAGGGAGGGAGGGAGAAAAGAAAAAGGGAAGGAAGGAAAAAAAGGAAAGAAAGCAAGGAAGGAAGGAAATGAAAGAAACAGTCAGTAAATGATTTTTTTTTTCTTTTTTTCTTTTACAGAAAGGCAGACTGCCGTATGCAGTGCTTCCTTTGGATGCGTGTGGAGTCTGGGAAGTTTGATTATCCTATGTTCTCTTATAAATGGACCTTCAGAGCTTGTATGGAGGTTCTAGCAGGGGAGCACAGCTACTCGTATACCCTCGACCAAAGAATGGTCTTCTTCTGGGGAAGGTCATCCTCTTCCACTGAGTGTGCAGCTTTGGGAGGGACACACGCAGGGTGGTGAGGGAGGAAGGGGACACCTGCCTAGCCAGCCAAATCAGCCAAATCAACCCTAGCAATCAACAGGGTAGCAGATGTTGCAGCCAGATCGCCCTCACATCCTGAATGAATTATTAATATGGTTTCCAGATCCATCACCTCTTCTCCTATGGATATGCCTTGTCAGTGCCATTCTTAAAATATGGGACTTGGAACCATGGTCTGAACCTGGAATAGTAAGACATGGAATTAACTCTCTTGACCTGGACACTGGATTGCTATTGATGCAACCTAAGATTGTGTCAGCTTTTTTTTTTGTCAGAGGCATTCCTGTTTGCCATCAAGATAGCTACAACTATGTTTTTTCTTTTTTACCGCATGAACTGTTACTAAGTCAGGTTTCCCTTAACCTGCTTGTATGTGAAACTGGCTATTTGAAGCCAAGCTCAACATTTTATATTTGTCCCACTACATTTCACCCTGTTATTTGCAGCCCAACATATAAAGATCTGCGTTGGATCTCAGTTTTGTTGTCCACCCAGTGCATTATCTCGCTACCTCTCAGAGCTCAGTTTGCTGACAGAACCATGGGTGTTGTTGAGTTGTTGGTGATTGCCAGCTGAGATCACTGTCTTGGGGGAATGCAACTGTCAGTGTAGAGTGTCTTGAGCAGACAGGCCTGGGTGGGGCTCCAAAGCAGGGGCTGCTCTGGGGGGCAAGGAAGGGAAGTAATTCACAGAGAGTGATGGGAGGGGGCTGAGGGGAAAGAAAGCAAATTCTGCCTTCTTTACAGATCTGTCTAGGGCTCAGTGCCACCATTATACTTTAGAAATATGAACAATCAGTTATTTCCGGGTTTATTTTCTCCTCCAGCGTATATTGAGTCCATCAATCAATTTGTAGTTACTCTGAACTCTATCAATGTTCTCCCCAGTTTTCTTTCAGAAGAGAAACACACAGGCATGTTTTTCTCATGTAGGTATGATGTCACCAACATCATGATTCTCACATTGACCTTCAATCCTCATTAAAATGACATTGATGAAGAAATAATGTCACCTTGTTTTGTATAACAGTTTACGCTTTTCAAAGCCCTTTCCCGTAAATCCCTGGGTCCTCGCTGAGCCTAACGAAAATCACAGAGCGGGTATGCCGGGTCTACTTGACAGGAGTTCATAGCCAGGGACAAGGAAATGGGTTCCAGTGCTTCGTGAAAGCCATGCTCACTCCAGAGAACGACCAGTAATAGACTGCCAAGGAAATCCATGAAAGAACTTTTGGTGTAAGGATATCTTTTGGAAGTTTCATTTTCTTCTTAGTAAAGTTATTCTCTAATCAACATGTTTTAACTCTTATGATTCTAATTCAAGAGAGGTGGGAGCTTGGCTTTTCAAAACTTAGGGCTAGCTTCCATCGTGTTTTGTATTAATTTTTTCTCTATAAGAAACAAAGAAAATAGAATTGGATAGTTTATGCTGATGCAGGAAACTACTATTTGTCTATAAAATATGCAATATTGCACACAAGGCAGAGATTTAAAAAATATCTAAAGAAAGATTCCTTGGATTGGATGTGTCAGAGATTTGTCTATTTTTTTGGTTCTACCAAAGAATCAGCTTTTGGAATAACTTATCAGTTGAATTGCTTTAATTTATTTAAATTTATTAATGCATTTTAATCTTTTTTCTTGCATTTCTCTCTCTTTTTTTTTTTTTGTGAGGAAGATTGGCCTTGAGCTAACATCTGCCAATCCTCCTCTTTTTGCTGAGGAAGACTGGCCCTGGGCTAACATCCATGCCCATCTTCCTCCACTTTATATGGGACGCTGCTACAGCATGGCTTGACAAGCAGTGCACACCCGGGATCCGAACCTGTGAACCCCGGGCCGCTGCGGTGGAGGGCGCGCACTTAACCGCTTACGCCACCGGGCCGGCCCCTCTGGCATTTTTCTTAGCTTTTTAAAAAATATCCTTTGCTTAATTATTCATTTTGCTTTTCCATTTAATAAAAGATGTATTAAAATCTATGAATTTGCTAGGATCAGATCTTGTGGACCCTGATTTTCTGTACCATATTCATTAAATTTATATATGTGGTCTTTTTATTGTCTTGAACACCTCAATGGTATGTAAAGGAGATTTTGGTTTACTAATCTTTGATTCAAGAATTATTTAGGAAGATATTTTTCTATGATTTAAGTGGTTGAGATTTTGTTTTTATTTTGGCCTTGTTCTACCTTTGCCTATTAATTTCTAATTTTGCTTCACTTTAATTAGACATTTCAAAGGTACAATGGCTTCTTAAGGTTGAGTGAAAGGACTTAATAAGGGTCAAATAGGCAAAAATCAGTGCATTGTTTTTTGAAGGAATATGTGAATCAAGACATTCATTCAACATTCGTTGACCACCTATTAAGTGCCAAGTACTCTGCTAGGGAGTGGGAAGTGGAGAGAAATAAGATTCCTTCTCAGTCCTCAAGAACCCTACAGGAGGGAAATTAATTTACTAGTGAATTAACAGAAGTTATATTCATTGTCTTTAGACTTTCTGATTCACTACAACACATCCAGTAAGATTGCTAAACTGCAAGTCTGGGTTTTCTTCAGAATGAAATAATTGCACAATTAAGGAACTCCTTTGTTTTCTAATTGTTTTATAAAGGAACTATAAAAATTGTGGAGGAGGATTTACATTGAAGCTAATGAACTCCAGCTGAGGCTCCTCACTGCACAGACCCCTTATAAGGCCCTGGCACTGGGTTCATGTGTCATATGCTTTTGTCAAATTTACAAAGGTAAGATTTTTCAATTCCTTTTCTTAATGAGGTTCTCCTGGATCTATCCCTGTGACAACCACATTCGTCCCTGTCATCTGTGTTACCAGGTAGCAATTTATTTAAAGGTCAGTGGATAACCTCTGTTGATTGTTTTTCTTTGGGAAATTTACACTTATCTCTGAATAGTTAGTCAACTAGTATTGTTAACAACTTCATAGGTTTACATATATACTTAATGTTTTGTTGTTGCCACATATTATTAGAGCGTCTAACTCCTTGAAAGTCTTTCAGTTGTTCTAAAATATAGCCAAGAAACAAATAAAATTCTCAAGAAATTACCTCATCAACACCAATAAAATATGCCATAAAGAATTGAAATGTACAATGTCTGAAGAGCCTGAAAGTTCTTCCTCAATGCTTACTGCCTTGTCAAGATTGCATGATAAATTAAAAACTGACACTTGGTATTTTGGAAGACTAGAAAGGTGATATTAACAGTGAACTCTCAACAGTGAAAGATGCGAGCTCCTGGAGGACAGGGACTCTTGGAGAGAATTTATCCTTCTTGTATCTCCCGCTCCTGGCACAGTGCCTGGCATTCAGCAGGTGCTTAATAATACTTTTTAAATGAATGAAAGAAGAGTGATGGGAAACCCATCAGGAACTATACAAAAAGAGCCAGCATGGCTGAAGTTTTAGGCAATCTGTTACAATACAAAAAACAATAGCAAGACCTCAATTTTGAACAGTTAGAAAATATTGGGACTCAGAGAAGCCTGATTCTTTATACAAGTAGAGACTTCCTGTATTAATGACAAAATTATAATGGCCCTTTACTGGGACAACTGGACTTGACTATCACCATTTTGTGAAGACTGGTATACTGACCAATTGATTAAAATCAGTATATTAATTATGGAGAGAGGCCAGCACCAATTAAATAGCTACATATAACAACATTTCAGGGGTAGCCTATGATTGCTGTGATCATCTGGTATCTGCAGGACTGCCATGAGGATGAAGGGTTGGACTCCACTTCTAACCGGAGCGGAGTGCTGCTGGTGACGTGTTGAAGTCCCGTATTTCTGTAATACTCTGGTAATTAGTTCCCATGAAAGGAGAGAATTTGGACAGACTTTTTCAAACTTTCAAACAACTGACATTTTGCTTCTTTCTTTTTGTTTTTCCCCAGAAGCAAATTTATTTAGCAATTTCTTCTCCTCTTCCCACCTCTCCCCTTCTTGCCCTGCCTCCTCTCCTCCCCACCAATGAAGTAAACATGTGATTTGAACTCAAAATATCATCATTTGTATGAGAGCAATTAGCACTTAATTTTAATTTACCTCCTGCACATATGGTGGATGGTTCAGCTGCTAGAATTTCGATGCAGGACTTCTTCAAAATCTAGGAGGGGAGGAAATCAAAAAGTCAAAACATAGCTTATTTTGTTAAAACAGAGAAGTAGCGTTTTGATTTTAGCTGCCAAGATAGGAAGGTTCAAGGACGTTATGTGGTAATGAGTGGGCGGGTGGGGGTAACATTGTTATCAGTATTGTTAATGTCAAACATTTAATGAGCCAGCATTGTGCTAGATGCTTCTGGGTGTCCCAAAAGCCATAAGAATTATTCATTCATTTGTTCTTTCAGCAGATATTTATGGAGTCTATGGTATGCCAATACTAGTTATGGAGAGGTTTAACATCTAGTCGGAGAAATGGGACTTATACTTGAAAAGGTAAACAACAATGCTGGTCCTATGTGGTAGGTGCCAGGGTGAAGGGGCAGAGAGTAGGATCTACGGAGTTCATGGGGGAGATCCTTGGGGCTGGTACATTGGGAAGGACTTCCTGGAAGAGGTGGGCACTGAGGGTAGGAGTGGAGAGGAAAGTTAGGGGAAGGTTAGGGTCCAGGCAGGGAATAGCATGAACAAAGGTGAGAAAATAGAAATACACAGACCTCTTTAGCTGGAACAAAAAGATCTTGAAAAATAGAAAAAAAAAGAGGAATAATAGATAAAGCTGGAGAGGTAGGATGGAGATGGCCAACCCTCTAGAGGAGATGCATTTTCAGATTACTCAGAGTTCCCTTTTTGTTCGAAAAGTCTGGAAAAATGTTGTGGGAGAGGGCTTTGAAGGTTTCTTGTGCCCCACTCTTCATGAGGACCCCCTAAGCCTTACTTCAGTGGAAATGTACTCTTCTCCCCAAATGAGAATCTTGTAGGGTTGAGTTGAGAGTCTGGGGGAACCCCATGACTGCACAGGGAGTTAATAATGAAGGCTTCTTCTGGCCAAATCAGAGTATCTGGCTGGTAGGACTTTAGCTTCTCTCTACCATTTATGAATCCCACCTCTTGTTGAATATTGGTTCTAAAATTTCAACCAAGCATTTTTAACAAGTATAGGACACTGAGTTAATTTACCAAGCATATGCAGTATCTTTATTTGGGCCTTACTTAATTTGGAAATTGAGATGGTTCAGAGGGCTGAAGGAAACCACTTCTCTATTTATGAAAGAGGCATTTTTTAAAGGAATTAATAGCGACACTATAAAATTTAAAGTCCGTAAAAGAAAAAAGCATCTTTTGGCATTGGGAAACACCGATTTATTTGTATTGACATATTTATTTATATATGCTTTTTTGTTCCAGCTTAAGTGATACATACACTACAAGATACATTCAAATAGAAGATACGATACATCACAGAAGAGGAGGAAATGGATTAAAGGGAAAATAAGGGGAAGATGAAGTAAAGAGTGAGAATAGCATAGAAAAAATATACTCTGAGGAGCTCATTTTCTTGCTAGGAGTGGCTCATGGATTTAGTTCTAAGCTTTCTAGTAGCAGATGAGGACAGACAATATTTATGAGACTCTCAATTTGTCTCAGAATAAAAACAAACCAGTTTCTCAGGAGATATAATATTTACCCATTCCAGAGAGAAATCTGGGCGTCCTCATAGAGAAGCATTGTGAAAGGAAATGAACAACTTGCTTCAGAAAATCTTTATCTGATGTAGATGACAAAACATTCAAATGTATTCATTGAAACTGGTTTCCTCACAACCACATATTTTAGATACCTCTATATACCTGAAAGTCATAAGAAGCAGTATTTCTTTTTTTGACAATTCTAAAATTTAGATTTCCAGCTCCTTATCCCGACATTCCTTCTCATTTTTGTACAATTTAAAGGCATTTTCATACTTGGATTCCTTTATTTGTTTTCAGGTTCCGCCTGATTCCATTTGTTCCTTTTTGTCTGCGTTTGCCTTATTTCTTCTGCCTCTGGCTCACCCAGCCACCTCTGCCCACCTTAAACACAGAGCAGCCTCAGTTTCCCTCTTGTCCCTGAGCCTGTTCTGACTGTAGCACAAAGCACAGGTACCAAACTCCCCATGTTCTGTGCCCATCTCAGTTAGAGTCAGTGGTCCTCACACACCTGGCTCTGGGGACCTGGTATCACCACTGAGCTCCTGAGTTCCCTTCATTGTCATTCTGTCTTGGGATCAGGGACCCCAAGGATACATCCTGGGCATCCGTGTTTCCCTGCTGGCTTCTCCATCCCCCCCTTTCCAATGGTCGATCCAGGTCTTTAGGTCTCTTACGTATACAGCAACATCCTAGGACAGGGGCTTGCCAGGATCTTGGTGTGTGGTGACTCATATCCCAGATGACAACTGCCCTACCTGAATTGTGATGACTGTCTACCCCCTCCCCCCCAATTTGCTGCCATTGGGCTCTTCCTGACTGAAGGGCCATCTCAGCCAGTGGTTGCCATGACTGAGGGAGGCAGCCACTCCCTTCAACACGTCCTCAGGCACAAGTCTCCAAACAGGCCACACTGGAAGAAACAGAATTAACCCACGTGGAGAAACTTATTAAATAGTGGCAATTGAAAAAGACAAAGCTATTTTTTAATGTTTTAAATAAAATTCCTTAGGCATTTGACATCTCTTAATAAATCATTTTATCATCCACGGCTAAAGACTTCAAAACAGTCCAAGAATAAAAATTGAGCTATTGGATCTATCCTGTCCCCACTCCCCAAACTCCACCAAGACACATAAATGAAATTTTCACCAATGTAAGTTCCTGACTTTTGAACCAACGTTTTTGAACCAACTCTAATACTTAATCAGGGGTTGGTAAAGGAAACACCCATGAATCTTTGACCACGAAGACACACTACCAGGTTTTGTCATGATAAACACATGCTGTATTATTCTCTCAAAGTGTCTGCAATTAGCTGATAAATCTAAGGAGTGTATGATGAGCCAAAAAACGTCAGCTAAGCGCTGTGATTCAATCCAGTAAAAACACAGCTTTCCCAGTCTTAAGTTAAAACATCTGGAAGGGATGCATTGCAGCCAATAGAGTAAATTTTATCAGTGAGGGGGATGGGCAGGATTTGTCTGGGACTGTGGCTTCTATTAGTTTGAAATGTCTGGTTTCAAAAGGTAGGAAGTCACAATGGCATTGGGTGAATTTGGGGGGTTCCCTTGGTTATTAGTAGCCCAGACTGTGTGGTAATCAGTCTGTCTGGACTGCAGCAGACAGCAGATCAGATTAGGGACTGGAGACTGGATGGGGGATGAGAGGCGGAGGATCCCTCCCCCCACCCCTGGCAGTGGTAGCCACATAGGAGGTGTGGACACAGCACTGGGAAATGCTGAAGGGAAATCGCTAGATGGAGTGGAAGGGACTCACAAGGGTCAGGGTGACGTCCAAGGCGAGAGTATACTTGACCTCTAATGGAGACTGGGCTGAGACTAACAAACGCCTCAAGTATAATCCAATATGAGGAGCTGGGTCCTGGCCCTGGTCCTGTACCTACCTGACCTATGGTCCTTGACAAATTCTTTAACTTTTCTGAACCCCAATTCTGGAGAACAAGTTAACATACTGAGTAATAGCTTGGAATCTGGAATCAAATTGTTTGGGTCAACTCACTCATGAGCAGTGTGACCTTGGGCAAGTTCCATAACCTTTCAGGGTCTCTGTTGCCTCATCTGTAAAAGTGGGATCAGAACAGTCCCCACTGCATAAGATTGCTGAGTTGGGAAGATTAAATGAGATAATACAGGCAGAGCCCATAGCACAGTGACTGGAAGTCCTCAACTAATGGTAGCCATTATTCTTAAGAACCTGGGCTCTGGAGACAGATGAGATAGATTTGGGCTCTGAATAGATTTATGTTCAAATCCAAACCCCACCACTTACTGGCCATGTGGACTTAGACAACTTATTAAATTTCTGAATCTCAGTTTCTTTTTCTGTCAAATGGGAATAAGAAAAATACTGACCTCAAAGGGCTGTATGATGATAAAATGAATAATAGGCATGAATGCAGAGATATTTTGTTTGTAAAACCAATTGGACTTAGGTGGCAAAATTCATGTTGGATTGCAGAGTGAGGAAGAGAATGAGATGAAAGAACACTGACAAGGTTTTTGTGTTATAGACAGAACTAGACAGATGTGATTGGTTAATAGATAGTTATTTGACAATCCTTGGGCCACCAGCCAACAAGTGCCCTTCATGAGAATAAGACACCAAGAAATGTGCTCAGAACAACCTTAGTAAAGCACTTAGGAGAACTTCTGGCATATGTTTGGTTCTCAAACAACGGTAGCTGTTACTATTACTTTTGTTATTACTACAGCTATTATTACTACTCTTGGGCAAAGACGGTAGCTCATATGTGCTTCTATTCCATCACCCACTACGGGCCTTGTGCTTCGTCATATTTGCTGAAAAAAACCTGGAAGATGGCTAATAATATTTTCCTGCCACTTTTTGGACAGATTTCAAAAAGGAGATATATGGGAAAGCATGTTTGAAATCCACAAAGAACTATAAACGTAATGTGTTGCTACTGGTTACTTTTGCACATCTCATTAGATTGTTCGGGGAGTCAAAGAGGCAGCAGATGTAAAAGAACTTTGCCAAGTAATAAGAGCAATTTAATATATTTAAAGTGAAATCCATTGTGGACCAGTCCAGGTTGCATACAAGAGTTTATTTTTTGGATTCTAAAAGTCTAAGGTCCTTTTTCATAGAGTTCTCAGTTTATGCAGAAATTTCTCAAGAATCCTTAAAGAACTGTGAATATTTGCACAGAGTTATCAGGAGCTCTTCCCTTACCATAGGCATACGTAATTTATTTTTTCCTAGTTGCTCTGCCTCCTTCTCCAATAAACAACCAATCTTTATTTACTTGGCCATTTCCTGTTGGAGGATTTTTGTGGGTGTTAATAAAAGACCAGCTTCTTAGCTTCTTTTAATCATTCCTGGTATAAGGGCGTTTTGCTTCCACGCATCTTTCAGAAAGTCTTTCAGAACATGTTCCTTGTGTGTTTTATTTGTCATGAAGGGCACATTCTGCTGTTAAGATGTCTGGAGCT